CTCACGGGAACCTGAAAGCGAAATCGATATATTGTACGAAAACCAACGTGGCGGCTTTTTATGCGGCATCCCCCTCTTCTCGTCTGCAGCATTAGGAAACCTAGACCCTCCGGCCTGGACCAACTATGCCCACAAACCCAGTCCAACCGACATTCATAATGCGCAGGTACCTGATCCGAGCTGGCAATGGGTTTGGCCGGAATGGCGCATCAATCATGACGAGCAGATCCAGACTGATAGCGATGGTTGGGAATACTCATTCATGTTCTCCAAAAAGTTTTCATGGCATCCTCCGAAGTGGTATAACTCGTTCGTCAGGAGACGAACATGGATAAGAAGACGGATAAAAACTCATCTTGCGTATCGAGCGACGTATGAACCTCCTATGAACGAAGCATACTTTTCAATATTACCCAAGAAACGAGATCCGAGTCCTTTTGGAGCCGCGAGCGATCTGGAGCGAACTAGTATGGATAGATATTCCAGGAGATCTCAAGAGGACTCTCGAATATCCGGGGATAGATCAAAAAGAGGCCAGGAAAACTCCCCATTACCCCTACAAATCAAAACCACCGAGGACTTGTTGGCAGTGCTTGGAAAATGTCGGATCGACCGTGAGAGGCTTGAGGCTATCGAAAATTATATATACAACTGCACAGACGACTTAGGGAAGTTGCAGTACCATATGCACGAGATCATGTCCCTGTTTGTTTTCCAGACGTCCCGGAAAACACTCTTAACACGGCTCATCCAGTTGCATGATAATGTGACAAGTGCCGGGGCTAAGGGGAAATCAGTAACAACAACCAAAGCGGAAAATCTGGCAGCGTCTATCGAACATGCCGATGAGGAAGTCCGCAAGTTAGAATATTGGAGCGACATCAAAGGAATGGCTGAACGTGGAGAGTCGGCCCGCGCCGTGGATAACCAGACGGGATGGGACTCGGGTTGGAAAGGGTTGGACAAGAGCGGGCCTAGAGGCATCAAAGAAGATGAACATCAGGGCTAAGCGGCCTCTGAAGGCTTGACTACTAGCGCGGGCCGTGGTAAGGGTTTATCTCTAGAAGCATTGGCATTTCTTTTTCCGAATCCTTATATCCTCCTTTGAGCCCTTTCTCATGTTTGTCACTTCGTTTTCGAAGATATGCCCATGGTTTGGAAGCCGAACTAATCAGCGGATAGCAAAGGGTGACAATATAATACGCATACGTTATATGCCATTCTAGCTTGTATGGACGATTTGCAACCCCGAGTTGCTGAGCGTCGGACTAGGCAGAGACCAGTTTGGATCCAGAGCGTTGCATTGCATTGCGGTTGATTGGCGAAAGGCCTTTTATTCTCATATGATTTTTGATCAGCGGCAACGACACGTCCCATTATAAGCATTGCTCAGCTTGGGCGTAATACCCGACTCGATCTGAGCAGCATACATATCTTTCTCATAGATACCCCATTCAGTATGCTTTATAAACTGATGCATCTTCGACCTCGAAAGAAAAGCTGTGATCATGAAGATGGCCATCCATCGCTTTGCATCCTAGTACCAAGGTCTCCCTAAGCACCCCTTGCACCAGGTAGGTTAAGTGACAAGCAGGACTCGTGAGGCTATGATCGATGGCATCCAGCCTTCAATCTCCTATGTCGATGTCGCACTGCGTCTTATCAATATATCTTTAAGACAAAAAGCGTATTACATACATATTTCTGCGCGTGCTGATATTCAGCTTTTTGTATTCTGTAATCAGTCGAAGGGGAGTATGGTGGCATCACGCTGGCCTCGCTTTGGGTTGCCCCTTTTTTTTGTCAACCTCACTTCCATAGGAAGAGTGAAAAATCGATATAGAGTTGCGACTGGATGTCCACCTCTTCCTCCTTGGGTCGGCAAATTGGAATTTGCTTACGGACACCAACACCAACTTCTAATGTCGATAGTGGCTAGATACACACCATATTATACCATACCATATCTCTCCAGTAGGTATCAGTGATGATTTACATGAAAGTAGACACCGTCAAACTGGCTGACTGCATTATTCGAGAGGGGACAACGTGAACGAAAGGAAACCCCTTTCAGACAGATCCTAGCAACCATCCACTCTTCGTGAACCGAGAGACACCATCAAAGAAAACCTGACTGCAATCATTCGAGCGTGACAAGGTGAATGAGGTTGTGCGACACACCGTTCGGCGGAAAGTCGCGAAGCCGCGAGGGAGGGAGGGAGAGAAGCAGCTGGAGATGGTGTCGTAGATCCGTGTTCCGGTGCCGCCCAGTAGATAGACTGGAATTTGCTCTTTCCCCTCCACTCCCACCCGATTATTCCTCCGGTACCCAATATTCGCCTGCCTGAGGGGAGACGTGGCATGATCGTTCTCTAATCCTCCTTGCGTCTCTATATTTTCCCGCCAAGTTTCCACAAGGGGAACGAATTTTTGGAGGATTGCTTCGTTTCGTTATATTGTTCCTTCCTCTCGACCGTATTGCTCACAGTTCAGTGTGCTCCGAGTTCACTTATAACGTCCCGTAGTTCTCGACTTGCCACCACGATGGATGCACCACCGAAGGCGGTATCTAGCAGCCAAGGACCGGCTGCGAAGCCGTTCTCATCTCGCGCTTCCTCGTCTGCTGGACATGGGGAGACGCCAGGCGGAATAGCTAGCAAGAAGCCTTGGGCCGACCAGCCGTGGCCATTGATCGAGATACCCTCGATAAATCATCATGTGCGTGTCTTTGTTCTCATGTATTCATCACGGGGGTTGATAGAATGCTTTACTTTTATCGGGAAGCGTGTGCTCGCAGGGCTCATCCCTGCGAGCCCTGCTGCCACTCTTTTGCCCCGCTGGCATTTTAAAGCAGTGCTCGATTCAAGGAGACAACAAGTATGAGAAAAGTTATACTAGAGACAGCTAACCGGAGCGTCCGTTTAGGCATCACACCCGGCCCTTCACATCGCCAACCAGATGGCATACATCCACAATGCCATGCTACGCGGTCTCAACGCGATATATCTTCAGGCGCCACACGTGCGGGAGCTCCAAGATATTACAGACTTGCTATTCCTGACGCAGAGCTGGAGCGCCTGGTTACTGGACCATCACGACCTGAAAGAGGGAATCATGTTCCCCAGGTTCGAGGCGATCCTCGGCGTACCGACTGGTACGTTAACTTTACCTTGCAGAGGGAGCCCACGAGCCGCCTCTTCCCATTCTGGGGGAGGGGCATCGACGACGACGACGAACCAGGGCGGTGGTAACGACGGGGATACTCACATAGGGGCGGAAGCGCAAGACGAGGCTATCTCCCTTCTGCTGTACCGCGTCTACGTATATGCTTCAGCCATCCATAAGCACCCACACACCTATAACGCCACGGTCCTCGAGGCCCGCCTCGTCTCTCTCGCCGACAAGCTCGTGCCTCACCTCACGGCGCAGATCGGGCTCCTGGCCTCGATGCGGGAGATGTGCCTCGGTATTGCCAAAACTCGGGGAGATGACGCTCTTCCCAGCCCACTTCCCATGTCTATGGTAGCGATTACGAGAACGGCTTCTCATGTGTCACTTTCATCGACGACACCGCCCTCGTCCTCATCTCCGCCGATCTCCCCGGTGCGCGCCGTATCTACAACTAGAAGCCCACCTGGGCACTCGTCGCCGCGAGTGACGTTCTCTCTGTATCCATCTACTCAGTCACCTCACCGCGTCAGGACCAGGAACACCACCACAAGCACCAGCACCAAAGCCATAAACAGTCCCGATACGGATAATGGAGACAAAGCCCCATCCGATTCGAAACCAAGGGAGCTGGAAATGAGAAACAACAACACGCTAGGCCGTACCCAAACCGACGCACACAGGCAAGCCCACCGAGAAGCGAACACTCGCGCCTCGGACCTTATGAAAACATACATGGCCGCTGAAGCGCAGGCGACGGCGTCAGCGGACCGTTTCGTGGTGCCGCCTATGATAGTCCGGCTACGGGACGTGACGTTCTCGTCATCGTCGTCGTCATCATCGTCATCTCCGACTGCATCCTGCTCTTCCTTGCTATCCTCTTCGTCGGGGCGTTCATCGCGCGTGACAAGGAGCGTAAGCGGGAATGTAGGCGAGTGGCCTTGGCTGTCGGTGCTCGTCGTCCACGCTATCGCTGATACGCTTTCTGGTCGCCATGAGGGTGCTTGGCGATTTTTGCCATGCGATGTTTGGGGACGGCCCAGGGAGTTGCTATTTTTGGGGGCATAGGGATCAGATGGAGTGAGGGATTCGTTTCTAGGTAATCTGTAGTTTCTATTCTAATTACCATGTACCTAACTTATCACGAGTGGTGGTGACCAGCTAGATTGGAAATAAGCACGCTTCTCGTTTGGAAAGAAGGGCTAGGAATTACTTTCATCCAGCAGGCTTTGTTTCTGGTGTGTGATGGTGTGTGAGGCGCAAGCGAAGGTAGCGGCACGTAGAACATCCGAGCAAAAGAGACGCGATAAAAAATAAGGCAATAGGTAGGTCGACACGATGGGTACCTACCTAGGTAATCTGTATCTGAGCATGACTTTTTCGCCCCTGTCATTGGCTCAGAACCCCTTGCACAATTGGCCCCACTCCCTTGACCCAATCCGGCGAGTCAGCTTCAAGGGAGACTATCTATCTGATAAAGGGTTTCCCGAAGTTATTCCGTGCTGAGGGATCCACCCCCTCACTGTGTTCAAAACTTCAGGGACACGAAAGCCAAAAGAAATGTGTGCATTTCCAAGTGCGAATGTCTCCCTACCTCGGGCATTGGGGCATACCTTGAGCAAGATACAGCTTGCGTTAAAGATTATTGACTCTTGAGACTCGGCATTAACCCCCAAAAAACATATCTCGTATCGATATAAACAACTTGAAAAAAAAAAAAAAAAGTTGGTTGCTACTCCCGAATTGAACCGGGAGACATCAGGAATTGAGCCCGATGCGGGGGTCGAACCTGGTTGCTCGTGTTAGTATATTTTTTGCAGGCTCTGTTTGCTTGACAGATTGTGAACTTACCCGCAACCTTGAGATTAAGAGTCTCACGCTCTACCGATTGAGCTAACCGGGCAGGCTATTGGTGATTGTCACCCTCCGCAATCCTCCAATATGACCGCCCGTTAGAACGAGCTAGCGGTGCTTAACGAAGGGATTCCTCAACCAAAATGATAGAGACGACCGTGATTCTTCCCTTTTTCTCGCAATTAATTCGTTCGTCCTGTCCAATTAACTAGATAGGACACATCGTGATTTATGGCCCAACCGATCCATTGAACTGTCGAACACCCTGAAGCCCTTAACAAACGCAATCCCGCGCACACGGGAAAATTAGGCGCAAACCACTTCTCTCTTCGCGCTCACAGCTCAAGAATCAAAACGACCAGTATTACTTATCTTTCCCCTTCTTCTAACCAGTACAACCACAGCCCAGCGAATCCGTATTCCTCGATTCAAGGATGGTGGTCCAAGGGCGACGTCGTATTCCTCTGAATAGGCCCCAGGGACAGCAGGATTATCTATATTCGGCCAATCAAGGCCATCACATTCTCAAGCTCAAGCTGATAATTCTTGAATTAAAGCCTACCCGACTGCCCCTCGATAGCCATTTTCCCTATTCCGTCCGGAATGTCAGTATCAATGGCAACGTTGTGTCTAAGACATGTCACATCACTGCCTCGGCCATGGCTAATCCAAGAATTCTCCAATGCGAAAAACCCTCACGACTGAGCACTAGAAGCCTCATAGAGTGGTTTTATGCGACAGCAGGAGGGCGATAGATGGGTACCTGCGTAGTACCTATTAAAGATTGGGAATAGGTGAGACTTCTTCATCAACGACGAAGGGATACGCGTGCTAGTCGCGCGAAGACGGCCCTTACGTAGTGGCTTCTCACCACATTGCATAGTTGCGAGTCGCATCGTAGATCCTGACATAGCGCGTACGCCGTGTGAAGGGATGGACGAGGCCATGGTGCACAGGCGCCGTCAAGAGACGTGCTCATGGAGTTTCTCCTTCGCACGTGAAGTTCTTTTTCCCTCATCCATCCTCTACGCATAGCTTCATTTCAAGCCATACAGGCAAGAAATCAGGAATTTGTGGGCGCGCCAAAGACGGATGACAGAATCCCACAACCCATCAGCACAGGAACAAGACTCATCGCAGGCTCTAGAGCCTCTTCGGGAAAAACATAACTCTCCGGTTCGCATTTCGATGACCAGAGCTGATCGCCGAGGCTTTCTTCCACGATGACGATGACGGAGCGACGAGGAGCAAGTTCGCGTCGTAGAAGCGCCATCACCTGCTCATCGAAGTCCTCACGACCATTATTCAGTATCCAACTCATCATCACACTCTTAAGTGTCATCACCATACCCGTAGCCGGCACACCGGTATCATACTTCCCTTTGAATTCGCAGCTTCCACCTGTTGCGCGCGTCTCGAAACCATTCTCGTTCGTTTTCTCGCCCCTGACGTTCTCGTCCGATTCCGAGATAAACTACTCGCTCGGCGGTGGCTCGCCATCATGGCTCTCGCTCGATAGCGCGTCCCGGACGCTTTCAGGCACGCCCGACAAAGACTCGGTACCACGGGACAAGACGCTGGTCGGCGTAGACATCGTGCTCGTGGCTCATGACAAAACGGGCTCGACGACTGCAAATGCAACACTCGTCGTATCGCGGGGCCCTGGTCCCATTGTGCAAATGCCGCTCGAGAATCAGATTAAGAGATTTGGCGCGTATTCACCACCTGCGTCCATACTGCTCCATCCGTCTACCGAGTTCTCTTTCAAGTTTGATCCGAAGACATTTGGTGTCGACGCTGTGGAGGATGGAGATACTCGGCGCAAGACCCTGAGCGAAATGCGACAGCTCGTAGACATAATCGCAGAGAAAGACAGGAGGGCAAACGCAGATGAGCAACCACTGAGTTACTACGCCGTTTCGGGCAATAATGCACCCCTCCCTTCATGGATTGAGTTCGACGCGGCGATGCTTGAATTTTCAGGCACAACACCGTCCTTTGAGAGTCTGGTACAGCCACCCCAATCATTTGGCTTCCAGCTGGTAGCCTCAGATGTAGTGGGATTCTCATCGGTCGCCATTGACTTCTCCATTGTGGTCGGGACACACGAACTTACCGCCTTGGAACCAATTATAGAATTGAAATCCACACGAGGCAAAGAGTTTGAGTACACGGACCTGCCCAATGTCTTGGAGATAGATAATCGACCACTCAAAAATGACGACGTCTCTTCCATCACGGCCAATGACCTACCAGATTGGCTCTCGTTCGACAAAGAATCGTGGAAGATCAGCGGGAAGCCGGGTGCGGAAGAAAAGTCGACCAACGTTACTATTACTGTCATGGACGAGTTTCTCGACACCCTAAATGTGACGCTCGCCATAACGTTTAAGTCAAATGTCTTCCTATCTGATCTCCCGGTTCTCAATGTGTCAGCGGGAGACGATTTATCGTTAGATCTCAAAAAGTTTCTGGTCCACCCAGCAGACACACAAATTAAAGCCGAGATACCGTCCAACAGCTCCTGGCTCACGTTTGACGACTCAAAACAGGTTCTCTCTGGGACAGCGCCCAAACACATAGATCCTGACTTTGCGGACGACATTCGGGTTACATTCGAAGCAACCCAAAGACATACGAAAGACCAGGAGACAAAGCATTTGAATATACACGTGGACGCATCAACTAGCACAAATGGAATTTCCAAGCCTACACACACTCCTAAACCGGACAACAAGTCCGAAGACTGGCGTAGAGATCTATACTGGCTGCTTATTATTCCGGCCTTGCTCATTGCGGCGGGCAGCTTCTTGGTGGTTTTCCTAATACGGAGACGGCGGCAGCAGCCGAAGAAACTCGATTTCTCATTCGTATCCGGTCCCGTGCCTGGTAGCCTCGTAGCGAATGGCGCCATGGGTGCCTCAACAGAGCCACCGCAAAAGATCCGGCATACGAAGGCTGTTCAACCGCTAGCACCATCTACACGACCGGGTGCTAGCGTATCAAAAGTTCCATCCAATCTTCGAACGACGCAGGTAAATCCGGCTACGAAGGTCGTAGCTCATCATTGCGTGACAGGTGGCTATCATTGCGCGCAACCTGTCACGCCTGTGCGTCCCGGAACTACTGAATCAGCCCGGGCTAATCCTGTTACTGCGGCAAAAAATCGGTTGTCGGGTCGACCGGGAAAGCCGTCCCCAGCAGTCACCGAGGAGTTTAGTCTGCTCTCTGATACAAGTGTCGGGGAAGAAGTACCGCTTTCCGAAGAACACCTGTCCTCCATGCCAGGAGCACCGAGGGGAAGCCTATACGGACAGAGAGCTGGCCTCGAAATACCGACTATCACCGAATCGCTTAGTGTGCAACTGACCCCCGAACTTGCGTATATGGACAGCACCAAGAAGTACGATGTCGTCTCCGATGACGAGATGATTCCTGCTATCGGCTACGCTCAGCGGAGGAGGTCTGTCATACAACGAAACACAGAGAATGGTACTCGGCGGCACTCTAAGGGCTGGAAACGAGGTAGCGAGCTCAGGGCTCCGGATGCGAAGCGCAATAGCCAGCTCAGCTCATTCACCGATGCGACGGCCCGCACCAGCATCCTCGCATCCGGTATCCCTGAAGAAGCGACTACGGCGAGGACTAGCAACATCTTGGTAAAGCCGACGGTAATCCATATACCCAGCCGACCAGGCGAGGCGCGATTACTCAGTAGGCGAACCCACGACTCGTCCACGTTCTTCGGGGGTCGTTCGGTCACGAAATCCCAGCGGAGCTACGGACTGAAGAATACGGACTCGGCGGTGGCGCCCACGTATGCCTCCGGCTTTGCCAAAGAAGAAGACGCGACTCGCGAGTCATGGGATCGCGACACCGCAAGGAATTCCCTGGGGATACCATATAACGACCTTAACCCCCAAACAACGACAGGACGTTCACACGCTCCCAGGATAGGCATGGGGCTAGGCGAGCACTGGAAGTCCGAGCAACAAAACACGGGCGCAGATCTGATGTCGCCAGAGAGATGGCCCATACCCAACGCAATGACCAAGACGCTCAAGGGCAAAGGCAAGAAACGAGCAAGTATCGTCATACACCGTTCTCCACCGAGTTCCACGGCCGCATCGTTGGCCTCGCAGACCTCATCTGGTGCAACTCGACCTGGTTGGCACGATGGTCCCGGGTCGCTGCGCGTAAACCGGATCCGAGCACACGCGAAGGAGTTTAGGGGTCGGGTGCCGCTCGCGGAGCGTACTAGCAATGAGTCTACGAAGCGGAGTTTGAGGAGGTTACGTAGTAACAATAAGAGCGTGTGGGGGGATGATGATGATGATGACGACGATGCGTGGGAGGATATAGTCCCGCCTGAGGAGGATGGGTGGGAGAGAGAGGGGAGTGAGTCGAATTTCTCGGTTTATATCTAACACAATACCTATAGAGTATGGACGGCAAACTGGCTAGGTAATAACTACCTGTAGCGTGCCATGAATGAATGAATGAGTGTTTTTTTTTTTTTTGAAACGAATCAACGAATATTGTTTGAGTGATGCCCTTTTCAGGAAGTGTGTCTAGGTTCGAGTACCTCTTGTTACCGTCTCCGAATTCCTTGCTTAGGTACCTATGGTTAACTTACCAGCGGTACCAAGACGGATCGGTTCGTTCCTCCGCTGTGGAGAAAAGGGGAGTAATACCACACACACATATACCCTCGCCTGTGACTACCGACCTGGATAAGGGCAAAACTCAGACCCCCTCACTCTTCACTCCGCTCTGGATGGAACGATAAGAATTCTTTTCTTGTCTTCCCCACCTCGCTGTGAAAATTTTAAGGGGGTTGGTTATGCCCGCCAAGGAGGGTGTTATCAATATGGCATGACGAGGTACTTTTTTGTGTGCTTACCTTTTATGCTACGTGAAGGTTCCTAGAGAAGGGTGATTGTTCCGAGAAGGGGATGTTGAACGTGTGGTAGTGTAAATGCTTCACGTACTTGTGTATGCACGATGTAGCTTAGATACTTGTTCAATTGAAGCCACGAAGACGATACT